AAAATTTGGAATTTTTTTGGGTGGATTTGGGCATTTTTTGTCCCAGTTTGCTCCCAGTCCGCCCCAGTTCAATTTCAATCCCCAATATCTCGGTCCCAGTAACTCCCAGTCACTCCCAGTGGCTCCCAGTCACTCCCAGTGGCTCCCAGTCCATCCCAGTCCAATTTCAATCCCCAGTATCTCTGTCCCAGTAACTCCCCGTCCATCCCAGTCCATCCCAGTCCATCCCAGTCCATCCCAGCTCCCCTTTACACCCCAATATCTCCATCCCAGTAACTCCCAGTCCATCCCAGTCCGTCCCAGTCCATCCCAGCTCCCCTTTACACCCCGATATCTCCGTCCCAGTCACTCCCAGTCACTCCCAGTCCCTCCCAGTTTGCTCTCAGTCCATCCCAGTCCTTCCCAGTCCATCCCAGTTCAGTTTCAATCCCCGATACTCGGTCCCAGTCCATCCCAGTCACTCCCAGTACATCCCAGTTCATCCCAGTCCATCCTAGTTCAGTTTCAATCCCCAATATCTCAATCCCAGTAACTCCCAGTCACTCCCAGTCACTCCCAGTTTGCTTCCAGTAACTCCCAGTCCATCCCAGGTTGCTCCCAGTCCCTCCCAGTCCATCCCAGTCCCTCCCAGTTTGCTCCCACTTACGGTGACGGTGGCCAGCAGCCCCTCGGGCACGTTGGCCACGATGATGCCGATGAGGAAGATGACGGTGGGTGCTCCCAGCTCCCCTTTACACCCCAATATCTCAGTCCCAGTCCATCCCAGTCACTCCCAGTCCAATTTCAATCCCCAGTATCTCCATCCCAGTAACTTCCAGTTTGCTCCCAGTTGCTCTCAGTCCATCCCAGTCCATCCCAGTCACTCCCAGTCCATCCCAGTTCAGTTTCAATCCCCAATATCTTGGTCCCAGTCCATTCCAGTCACTCCCAGTTTGCTCCCAGTCCATCCCAGTCCATCCCAGTCACTCCCAGTTCAGTTTCAATCCCCAATATCTCAATCCCAGTAACTCCCAGTAACTCCCAGTTTGTTCCCAGTCCATCCCAGTCCATCCCAGTTCAATTTCAATCCCCAA